GTAACCTTTAATGGTCATTAAAAACAAAAACAAAACAAAAGACAAATTTACTCTTCATTGTAAGAGTAAATTTTGGATGAGAGGTAATAGCTATCAGCTGGCAAATAATAAAGCTCTAACAATGAAATCCAAAGAGATCTGTAAGAATTGTTATTAAAAATTGTATACTTATATCTATTTTTATTCTTTGCTCACTTAAACTTTAGTCAAGACGATGACTGAAGATCAAAATCCAGGGGCCGGCTGAGTGGCATAGTGGTTAAGTTCACATGCTCCGCTTTGGTGGCCCGACATGGGGTTTGTGGGTTCAGATCCCAGGCGTGGACCTACACACCACTCGTCCAGCCCTGCTGTGGCGGCATCCCAGGTACAAAATAGAGGAAAATAGGCACAGACGTTAGCTTGGAGACAATCTCCCTCACCAAAAAAAGCCAACAACAAAACATTCCAAGTACAGTTTCTGGTCTCACTTGGTCCAAGTCAGAGAATATGATCTTCTCTATCTTCGGGGGAATTTTCAGTGTGAAAGCAAATTATCTTAGGCACAATCACCTCCTCTTATCATGGTTAAATTAACCTTGTTTTGAGGAGAAAGGTTGCTGTGGTATCTCAGGAAACTTGTAAGTGTGGATTAAAAAGTCTCAACTTCCTTATTTTAACACTTCCTCATATTTTTCTATTGTCAACTTACCAATAGAGTTTTTCTTTTCAAAAAAACAACTTTATAATTAAAATAAAATCTTGGCCTATCTACTCTTCCCCCCAATTTGATAGTTTCATAGTATATTTTAAAAACCCACCACAAAAAATAAAATGTGAAAAAGCCTATATTCCTTCCCCTGACGTAATGAAATTGGGTTTACATAGGTGAAGCAGTTCAATTATTTTGGTTAAAAAATGTTTAGGTCTCTCCATGAAGGTAGTGCTGTGTCAGTTGAGAACGTGGTACTGTGGATGATGGCTTTCATCTATATGCGTAGATGTCGCAGGAAAGACTAACATGGTCATAACAGTCCTTTCTGAGCGCTTTATGCATGTAGAATGTCCTTTGATTGTTGTTGTGGCTGTTGTTCATGGGGCCTGTAGCTACTTGTAACCCAGTCCTGTAAATGCTCAGTGGCCTCAGTCTTTTCTCTTTTCCTGTGGACGTCCGCCAGCTGGTATGTAGCTTGCAGTGGTTTCTCAGCTATCTACATTTCTCTTACAAGCTCACCCCAGAGCATCAAAAAAAACTGTATCTTTTTTCTACCTACATACTTATGGCTATTCCTCTTTGGGTCACTAAACAACCATCTGGATATCCTGTTGGTATGCATTTAGTGCATATAGCCACTCCATCAAAAGTGGTGAAATCTTGAGCATCCTTTCAATGACAAATCTGTCTTATTTATAGCAAGCAAATCAAGGGATAGACCATCAGTTAATGACAAGCCATTCACATACTCTGGTAACATTAAAATCATTTGGTTAACATTTATGTTCTATGCTCTTATTGGATTTAAGGTACTATCTGTGGGAAATTCTCTGAGTTATCAAACTCGCTTAGAATTGCTAGAATCCAGGCAAATTTATGCTGTATTTTTCTTCCCTCATTTTTTTTTTCTTATTTTAGTTTTTGAGTATATTGTAAATAATTTGTCTTCCATTTTATTTTTCTTTTAAAGATTTGCCCTGAGATAACATCTGTTGCCAATCTTTTTTTTTTTTTGCTTCTTCCCAAAGCCCGCCAGTATATAGTTGTATATTCTAGTTGTAGATCCTTCTAGTTCTGCTGTGTGGGACACTGCCCCAGCATGGCTTGATAAGCAGTGCTAGGTCTGCACCCTGGATCTTAACTAGCGAAACCCTGGGCTGCCAAAGCTGAGCACACAAACTTAACCACTCGGCCATGGGGTTGGCCCCCTGATTGTGTTCCATTTAAAGGGTTTACATCTATGTTTTTAGAAACACACCACCACCAGTCATAAAAGAGGAGCTAATATTAATTCCACGTACTAACTGCTTCACATGCGCTATTTCCTGGCAACTCTGTGAGGAATAAATACTATTATTAAGACTCCTCTTTTGCAAATAGGCATGGAGAGGTTACTTGAACTACCCAAGGTAGTATGAGTACTAAACAGTGAAACCACGCTTAGTCTAACTCCAAACTAACTCCAGAGCCTTGCTCTCTCTTTGTCTCTTTCTCTCTTTCTTTCTCTGTCTCTAATCAACTTACTATGTGCCAGCAACTCTTCTAATGCTCCATATGTATTAATTCACTTAATATTCATAATAACCTTTAACGCACAAATATGTGTTCTGTGTAGATAAGAAAACAGGCATAGAGAGGTGAACTTGCTCGTGTTAGCACAAGTGGTAGGTAGACAAACTGGGAACCCAAGTAGTTTAGTTCCAGAATCTGTGCTCTTAACCACTATGTTATATTCTCTTTCATCTGTAAAAGTTGCTCATAGTAAAAATATGCCATTTCTAGTAATAAAAAATCTATCTAGATGAAGATATACTTGCAGAAATAGAATGTTATTTTTGTTCAAATGTATCTTTATTTTCCACCTCTACTGCCAGTCTTTTTAATTGGCAATTTCCCAGAAGTGGCAAAACCTGCGAACATTTGTATTGCATGAATTCCACATATGTTTCAGGTTCATTCTTGTTAATCATCATTAATGTTTTTCTAGTCCTCACATTTACGTTTGGCTTGTTTATTCCAAACAGCAATCAAATAAAAAGAGAAGAGCTATTTGGAGACTAAGAAAGGAGTTAAGATAGATGGCAACTTCAATTTGGAGAAGATAAAGAAACCTCAGTTAGAAACATAAAGATGAGTTAAAACACCCAGGGCCCATCCACACCCAGGGTCGGATTCACAGTATGAGGGGCTAATTGATAGCAAACATGCCATTGATGGCAACAGAGTAATTCCAAACATAGTCTGCATAATACTATGATTAATAATGCTTCATAATACTGGGATCAATAATGAACTTGTTGTTGTTATTATGCACTGGAGAGAAACATCATAGTTTCACCCAGTGTGACTATTTGATTTATGCTTGTCATCTCCTCCATTCTATAAGTTCCATATTATCAGATACTAGGGCTGTTTTAAATCACTAGTATACCCAGTGTCAGTATGTGCTCAGTGTGGAGCACAGAAAAGGATCTCAATAAATATTGAAGGAGTGAATGAATGAATGCAGATATAACAGTGGCTGAAGTTCAAGTGCACGTAGCCTGAATTCAATCCCTTGTATGCCAAATATGAAGCATATGGCACCAGTTTAAGACAATCTCACCAGATTATGAGCCAATGCTGCTACTGTAACTCCTACCTTGGTGGAATGGCTGAGTCATGACTAGCAAGACAACTGTGACCAGAGCTTGTAGAGTCTGGGGACATTTGTCCCTCTTAACTCCTTGATTCAAAATAAAATAATCACTCCCCATCAGCACCTTTGACCCAGTGGATCTCTCCTTCCCCCTTGACTCGATTTCTTTACTTGGCTTCCAGGACACCACACTCTCCCGGGTTCTCTTATTGCATTAGCCAATGTTTATAGACTCATTTGATGGTTTGTCCTCTTCTTTTCAACTTCTTGTATTTCCATTTTTTAAATAGTGTCTGTCTTCAGAAGAGCAGGCTTTTAAAATTTTGATAAAGTCCAGTTTACCAATCATTTTCTTTTATGGAGTATGCTTTTGGTGTTTCATCTAAGAAATCTTTGCCTAATGCAAAATGACACAGACTTTGTCCAATGTTGTCTTCAAGACATTTTATAGTTTTCAATTTAGCATTTAGGTCTATGATATATTTTGAGTTAACTTTTGTGTGGGGGGTAAAATGAGAATTAAAGTTCATTTTTTTGCATGTGGATATCCATTTATTCCAAGACTATTTTTTGAAAAGATTATCCTTTCTCCACTACATTGCCTTTGAATCTTTTGCAAAAATCAGTTTTCTCAGAGAATGAAAAGATAAGCTACCACCTGAAAGAAACTGTTTTGGAAATCACATATTTGACAAGGAACTTGCACTGGAATAAAAAAGGAACTCTCAAAATACCACAAAAAGACAACAACTCAACTAAAACAAGGTAAAAAAATTAAAAAACTATCAGACCCTTCAGCAAAGAGGACATTCAGAAAACAAACACATGAAAAGATGTTCAACATCATTAGCCATTGGGGAAATGCAAATCAAAAGCACGATGAGTTATCACTACACACTGTTAACAGGGCTAAATTAAAAATTACTAACAATATTGCATGCTGGTGAGGATGTGCAACAGCCCATACACTGCAGATGAGAACACATTAAAATAAGAGCATTGAGACTATGATAAAATTTCCATGGCTTAATTTCTTATGACAATGAAAATATATTATTTTTCAAAACAACTTCAACTTTATAGTATGTACTTGTTCCATTTGCAGTATTGTTAAAGAAGTACTCTAAAATGGAAAGATATAGCACGTATCAAGATCCATATAAAAAACTAAGGCCGTATTTTGGATGTGATGTAAAATATAATAATGTGAGGAGAGAGATTTAGAAAAAATGAGATCGATGATTTTTTCCTTGCGCCTTACTTACTGGAATTATTTGAGGATAAATAGTTCTTTAGAACCAGCAGGACAAACAAGATTCTCCTCACTGCCAAATCAGTGAATTTCTCAAGTTCAAAAGGACTCTTCAGCTACTGCCTAGAGCCATTTCCTCATTTTTGATGACAGCAATAGTGGTTCATTTTCTCTTTTACAGTGTTATGCCCTTTAGCTAATTCTGAATAAAACTGCTACACTTGTTTGGTGAGAATTTTTCCAACATTCCATGCTGAACATATCCACTGTTTATAACCAGACCACAGAAGTTCAGAGCCTAAAGACAGCTTTCAAAACACAAATGCAAAATAAATAAAATGAAAATATAACGATGTGAGATTTTCACATTAATTTGCCAGTGATCTGTCTTGAGTTGTTTATAAATCTGATCTTACCTTTCCAGTGCCAGCTCAGGCTGTGTAATGAGACATTTAGGGGTAAGATTTGAACAATTTATTCAGCTTCACAGGCCAAAGGTCAACTCATGGTTTAAAACTTTCACTTAACACTTTACAGAATTAAGTGATGCTTTCCACAGGTCAAAACATCTACTGCTATGCTGTTCACTTCCTGGAAAACATTGCCTAATATATGGAAAAAAAACATACAAAACACAAAATAGTCATGACAAATGTTCAACACTGTCACATCAGTAGTCAACAATCACCATTTCTCCTGGCTGTCTTTGGTACTATTCCTGTTCAGCAAAATACTTCCCAAACATAAAGCTCTGCTACTTAAAATTCAGGCATAAAAATCTTTTCCTGGGACTGATTTATATCTAAAATTTCTACCAATGTCTATGTGTCAGCACCCAACCATGACTTCAGTTTATTGTCAACACACAGATAGACAAAGCTCATGCATAGACCATATTTATTGAATTATTTCCTATCATAGTCTCATTGAAATGCAAAATGCTTAGTGCTTAGAAAAACATATAAATCAATTATCCTAATCTGGAGCTTGCAGGCAGAATGTCAAATGAAATTTGAAGGTCTTATTTTATCTGCATATGAAATTCATAGCTGAGAAATATGAGTTTATTAAGGACATTTTTGGTTTGTTAATTGTACAAACTGCACGCTCAAGACAAAAATTTTCATATTAGTTATAAAAAACTTTATACTTTATACTTTAGCTCATTTATAGTAATTCCTAATTCCCATCTTAGAGTGTGAGGTAGGAAAGAAGATGTGGGAAAAGAGAAGAGTAGTTCATATTTAAATAGTTTGAATGTGAGGTGCTTGTGAGACTTCCAACTGGAGATGCCCAGGAAGCACTTGAATGTGTGGACGTGGTGGTACAAGGGAAAAACCTGGGCTAAAGATGCAGATTTGTGTCAAACGCACATTGGTACTAGAAGAAGCTATGTGAGTGAGAAGGAAAAACTCACTACGTGGAAGAGTAAAGATAGATGAGGAAAGAAACATTGAGTACACCAACATTTATGGGATAGGTAGAAGAGAACTCCACGAACGGAAGGGAAAATAAAGGACAAAAGCAGAGCATGGTGTCAAAGAAGCCAAGGGAGGAGAGAGTTCAAGAAGGAAAGATTTGCCCACAGGACCATCAGATGATGCCAAGACATCAGGTAAGATAAGCCTCCCAAAGTCTCCATTTACTTTAGAAATTAACAGATCACAGGTGACGTGGACTGGTAGATTTCAACAGCATGTTGGGACTAGGCAAGGAGCAACCAGAGGCAGTCTTTCCAGTTACCCTGACTTTGTAGAAAAACAAAGAAATGGCATAATTGCAAGGGGCAAAATGCAGGGTGGAGGATGATTTTTTTTTTTTCGTAAAAGAACAGAGAACCCTAAGCTTATTTCCTTAGAGAGAGTCAAAGGTAAGGGAACAATGATATTCCACGTTCCTACCTCAGGATCAAACAATAATACCTTCTGTCCAGGGAAACAACTCAGGTTTCCCTTGATGAAGCTTCTATAAATAATTCAGGAGGAGTCAGACTAACGGAAGGCGTAAAAGACCAATCCACAATCTCTTCCTAAGAAACTGGTGTGGCCTTATAGGAAAAGGAAAATTTTGGTAGAAGCCTAATTTGGAAAGGCAAAGGTAGGCTAAGGTCCAGCTCAGAAGTATTCCACTTAGGTCCTCTCTGCCAGTGTAGAACAATGCAGAACAGCATCCATGTGCAAGGGCCCTGGAAAGCCCAAGAATAAGCAGAAATCTACAAAGTAAAATTTATCAACCGCAGAGCTTCTCCTGATACTTTCTTCCCCAATTTTCACTGCCATGACCACCAATGACAAAACTCTCATCTATTCTTACATTTCTTTTTATTTTGAGACAGTTTTCAATTGGACTTATGCTCAAGATACCATCCTCCCAAAGTTCTAAAAAGACATTTAAAATTAGCTTTAAAGTATATACACGTTTAAAACAAATATTCATGACTCAGGTAATTTGTGTACCTGTAATATGCCACATGTTTGATAATATTCATGTTGTAAATAAAAATAACTCACAAAAATAATTTTGCCTTGGAACAGTTTTAATATAAACATAATGTTTAAAGGCCTGTATAGCATTTTATCTTATTATATGTCCTCAGTTTCTTGAATTACTGATAGATATCTTCTAAATTAGTTATTTCTCCAGATGCCCAGCTACATTTTTAAATGCCCAAATTTATAGCATGTTTCCTTAGAGTAATTGTAGTCCAATAACCATAACCCAACAGAAATAGTAGTCAGTAAGATAATATATGTAACATATCTACCGCATAAATACTTGTTTTGGCTTTTGTTTTTAAAAGCAAAAAGAGTTTTGTTTTCCGCCTCAGAAGTGGCACATATTCAGAATCATTTTCTATAGTTAAAAGGCTTTGCAAGAAATGTTCTTTCTTAAAAGACTATCATTCAGGTGTTTTCACACTGGCAAAGATACAGTGGGTTAGGATGTGCTGATCTATTTTGCTCATGAGCACGGTTTTAAAACTGGAGGCCCCAGTAAATGGAAGGCTTAACTCTCTTAACAGAAGTTGACTTTCCCCAGTGAGCTAACCCTCATCACAAAGATACTGTGTTTCTGCTGGTAGATCAATTTCACAGATTTTTCTGCACTTGGAATGACCTGGAGCTGTAAATATAACCATGAAGATGATATGTTTACAGCACAATAAAGACATTTACTCTAGTGTTTTCTCATGATGGTGGGAATGTTTATTCAGTGCACCTTAGTGGGGCAACTTATCTCTGATGATTTGGATAGGATTTTTTTTTAATTTTTAAAAAAATTATCATAAAATATGCATAACATAAAATTTGCCATTTCAACCACTTTAAAAATGGTAGAAATTGTACACTTAAAGTGCGCAATTCATTGGCATTAAATACATTCATATTATTGTACAAGCATCATCATTATGCATCTCTAGAACTTTTTCATCTTCCCAAGATGAAACTTGGTACCCATTAAACAAAAACTCCCCTTCTTCTCTCCTCCCAGCCTTCTACTCTGTTTCTATGAATTTAACTACTCTAGGTACCTCATATAAGTGGAATTAGACAATATTTGTCCTTTTGTGATTGGCTTATTTCATTTAGCATAATGTCCTCAAGGTTCATCCATGTTGTAGTATGTGCAGGATTTCCTTCCTTTTTAAGGCTGAATAATATTCTCTATATATGTATGCTAGGGATAAGAATTCTGAATGTGTACTTTGTAACCTAACCAAATGGACACATTGTCTAAAAACATTATTAAAAACTGAAAATTGAATTGTTGAATTATGTGAAACAATTTGAAGGTATGGAGTCCTAAAATACAGACTACTTTCGTTTCTGACAAATAAATTTGTTCTTTCTCTACCACGGGCCAATTATCATTGGTAAAGATAGAATGATAGAGTTTAAATTGTATATGATCATTCAGATAATTTTAATCTTTTAAAATGCTATAATAGTTTTGAAAAAAGAAAGAGAGGTGATGGTTGCACAACATTGTGAATGCACTAAGTGCCACCAAATGGTACAATTTTAAACGTTAAATTATATGTTAATTTTACCTCAATGAAGAAAAATGCTATAATGATGGAAATTTTCTTTGACTTTGTGCTGGGATTGTATTTTACTACAAACACACATATGTTGGTAAGCAATGTTGATACGTTTGTATTACAGTTAAAAGGATTAATTTAATATTACAGTTAATTTTTATTCATAAAAGGAAAGAGGCAGGAAATAAACTCTGTAGAAATGCCTTTGCACATATGATTCTCTCTGCTCGGAATATTTCCCGATGTCTGCCCATCTGCAGAGTCCAACTCACTGGCCATTTTCTTATAGAAGCCTTCCCCGCTGCCTAAAAATAAAATTTTCCCCATTTGTGTACCTCTATGTAGTCTTAGTTTCTGCCTAGCTCCCCCTGCTAAACTGAAAGTTCCTTGAGGACTGGAACTTTCATGCTTTTTTCCTCTTTGTATTTATCAATAATATAGTACGTGCCCAGTCAATGCTGGTTCTGTTGAAACTCATTGATTTGAATTCATTAAAACTGATTTTCAGTGGGCTTTGCAAGCTGTTGTTTCATTGTAATTTTTTTCTCAAATATGACATCCATTTGGAAGAAAGAAAGTAGACACAGAAACTTAAAATTGGACCTGGCTACTTCATGAGGTCATATAACACTGGAGTGGTTGGACAGATATTTCTTTATTTGTCCATTATCTTTCTTTAAGAAACATGCATTTCTTTTTGTTGTTGTTGTTGCTGTTTTTGGTTTTTTTTTTTTTTTTTTTTTTGCTTTTCTGCTAAAATTTTATTCTAAAATAGAAAAGGTGAAACAAAAAAAATGCAAATTAAAACATTCAGCCACCGTTTTTGTTTATGAGTGAGTCAAGTTTTAATATTGTGTTTTCTTTTGGTTTGGTTTTTATTTTACTTATTTATTTATTTATTTTTTAATTTTTATTTTTTTCGGATGTACATCATATTTCAAATTCTGGATACATTACATCATGTTCACCACCCGAACACTAATTATAGTGCATCCCCTCACATGTGAGCCTAATCACCTCTTTTGCCCTCCCCCCTCCCCCCTTCCCCAATGGTAACCACCAGTCCAATCTCCAATGCTATGTGTTTTGGGTTTTTTTTGTCGTTTTTATCTTCTACTTATGAGTGAGATCATATGGTGTTTGACTTTCTCCCTCTGACTTATTTCACTCAGCATAATACCCTCAAGGTCCATCCATGTTGTCACAAATGGCTGGATTTCGTCATTTCTTATGGCTGAGTAGTAGTCCATCTTGTATAAATACCACATCAAAACTACAATGAGGTATCACCTCACTCCGGTCAGAATGGCTATAATTAACAAGACAGGAAACAACAAATGTTGGAGAGGGTGTGGAGAGAAGGGAACCCTTGTACACTGCTGGTGGCAGTGCAAACTGGTGCAGCCACTATGGAAAGCAGTTTGGAGTATCCTCAGAAAATTAAGGATAGATCTACCATATGATCCAGCTATTCAATTGCTGAGTATTTATCCAAAGAACTTGAAAACACAAAGGCATAAAGATACTTGCACCCCTATGTTCATTGTGGCATTATACACAATAACCAAGACTTGGAAGCAACCTAGGCGCCCATCAAGGGACGAATGGATAAAGAAACATGCATTTCTTATGGTTTTACTTTGAAATTAGTTGCTAGCCATTTGCTTTTGTTTCTTTTTGTTGTAAAAACAAAAATATTTTCTTGACTTCTCTCATATGTCTCCTTGGTCTACTCATCATGACCAAAGAAGTTCAACTTTCTAACAAATACCTATGGTATACAAAGCATTGTGCAATGTCCTGACAGCTGACGGCTGCTAGATATAGTCAATATAGATCAATTTTATACACGTAAACTCCTTTAAGGACAATGGTAAAACAAGTATCCAATGCAAAATTATGGGCAACAGAATAAATCACTCATAATACAACTATTTATAAAATAGTTTCTTCCATGCTATATATCAAATTATTTCCCATGAATCAAAACATCAGGCAGAATGAATCAATATGTGGTGCCAAAATTAAGCCTTGAGAAGTAGCTGAGTTTAAATATCTGTGGATAAAGAGACATCCTAGATAGATAGGATAAGACAAAAGAGGTAAGTATCATGGGAGATAAGGAAAGAGAGAGACTCTTATTTGGAAAATGGGCAAAGATAACCTGGGTCTCCAGGAAAAGATTAGAAATCTCTGAAAAAGTAAATAATGACAAGATGTACATAATGGAGTTGCAAATTTACTCACATCCTCACTCAGACTGGAAAAGAAAATGTAACTTCTTTATTTCTCTGCAATAATCAGATCATCTACATGATATGCACCTACAAGGGAGGAAAAAAAAGAAAAATTTAAAATTTGGTCCCATCGAAAACCAAATCCACTATAATATTAATCTCTGGTAAAATGAGCTGTATCTTCTTCACCCTTTTCCAAAATAGTTTTTGCCAATTTAAAGTGTGCCACTTTTTTGACATTGTACAGGCTGTGGGAAGGGATTGCCTCTGGAGCCTCTCTGGCCTCTGTTGTGAAGTGGCTGGCCTGGTCTGCTGCCGGAGCCAAGTGGCAATGGAAGGACTCCTGGAGCATCTGAGTAGTGTTCAGGCATCTGCTGTGGAAGCATGAGCTGGTGGAAGGGGGTCTGGACACCCTGGACTTGATTAGAGCACAGTCATCTTCCTGCTGACTCAGCCCCATCATAAGCTCCACAGGCACTTGACTACACAGCTACTGAGCCTTGCTTTCTGAGCTCCCTGAAGCAGCCCCCAGCCTAACTTTCAGCTGACTTCCACACATCCCCCTCGGGTCACACAGGCACTTGTAGGTCCTATCTGTGACACACAGGAAGCAGATGGAGGAGGAAACCAAACTCAGGTCTTCTCTCTGCCTAATCAGTCTCCACCACCAATTTAATCTGCTATGTCGGGCCAGATTGACATGAGAGCCTTTGAGGGCACCTCATCTCATGTCACACATCTTTCCCCATTGGGCCTGCAGCCTGGAAAGGGGAGATCTGGAATAAGTGTGTCTCTGTCTTCCTCTACCTGCCCCTCCCTTTCTCTTTTCAGCAACCCTTGAGACCAAAGGGTAAGATTTTCCTTCTTCCTCTTTCTTTCTGACTAGAAACTTTTTTCAAAAAACTGTATGATCAGTCTTGCTAGGCCAGCTTCTAGAAGTTTTAAAGGGAGAAATAAAGGAATTTAGAAAATCCTCGCAAAGTCCGGCTTTCAAGACTATTGTCTGTCTGCATATTGCCTTTGAGAATGTCTTCTTCTTTGCCTTTCTACTGCGACTCTCTGAATCTCCCCCAAATTCCCCAATTTGTCTAAGGAAATGACCATTCACAAGGAAATGCAAAAACATAAGCTCATTACATTTCTCAAAGTAGTATATCTATTATATTTAGTCTCATATGACGCTAGTCTTTCTCTAACAGGTTATACTTCTGTGCTCTGTGAAACTCTCCTTAAGAGAAAATTGAAGTTTGTTTGATTTCCAAACTTCTAATGCCCTGTTTTTTTTAAAGACTTTATATTTTTAGAGCAGTTTCAGGTTTACAAAAAAATTGCAAAGAGGTACAGAGATTTCCCGTATAACCCTGACCCCACACATGCATAGCTTCCCCCTTTATCAACATCACCCACCAGAAGGTTACAGTTTTTACCAAGGATAAACCTACGTTGACATATCATAATCACCCAAAGTCCAAAGTTTATCTCAGGGTTTACTTTTGGGGTTGTACATTCTATGGGTTTGGACAGAAGTATAATGACATAAACCGTCACTATAATATCAGAATATTTCCACTGTCCTAAAAAGGTCTTTGTTTTCATTATTTTTTCCATGTTTCTATATTTTTCTTTCTGGGTAAATAATGATACATTCCACGGTTTTCTGACGGTCTTAAAAACAGTGTTTACTTTTACTTAAGTTGTTCATATTAATTTCTACATCTTAAACATAAAACCTAATTGAGTTTGTGGAAGTTTCAAACCAAATGTACTAGATTTAAATGTCCCTTTAAGATGCATTGTGTTTATTTTCTTTATGGCACTTCAGTTCACAATAGTGATTTTAATCCAAATATTTGCCTTTCAAGGTACTTGTTCCACCATTTGCAATTGATATCCTACCTCTTCGCAGAACACTGCTTCCTGTTGTCTGCAGACTTAAGGAGGATGCCTTTCATTTTCCTGATGGTGTTTGATTATATTTACCTATTGAGTTTTTGAGTGTGAGACTAGCTCCGTGAAGATTTATAGCAATGAATGTTTCATTTTTTCTGAACTCCTTTTAGGAGACTTGGTGGTTCTACTCTAGTTGTTTTTAAACTCTTGAACTATAGATACATTTTTGGCAAAGGAAAAAATTTAAATTTGAGGTTATACCCTGCAAGCTTCAGAGTAAGTGAACCAAAACTTCAACTGTGTGATTTAATCATTTAAAAAGTGGTAGCCACTGTTTTGACTACAAGTGCAAGTCATATCAGTGGGAAAGGATGTTTGAACTAGAAGGTGTAGACATAATCTCACTTTAATTTCTGTGCATCTTCCTTGACTGTTTTATCAGATTACCATGTATAGCAACTTGCCATTCTGTGGTTACTCACTTCTAAGGTTGTAAATGTCGAGAAATGCCAGACTATCACCTTGGACTCCAGAGTGTGATTGTTTTGTGTGTATGTGGTTTCATACCGAAGTGAGTCATTCTGCCAAAAACCTTGAGAATTTCAGTCTAGTCTAGACATTTCAATCTTAATGACTGATACACCAGCCTTTGCATAAGAATTATGTATCGTTAGGAAGAGGATGTAGGTATAAAATGGTTCTGTGCAAATACAAATATTATATACTTAAACCCACAAAATCTTGACTAGTCATTTCCTCTGCTAAACCTTTCCATTCCCGCCATTTTTTGTTACTATATCAGCAATTGCTCATCAGTAAACCTCATATCTTTATAAGAATCTCTGCCTGTCCTATTTGTGTTTCCAGTATATACTGTGATACCTGCCTTAGCAGCTTCAGTAAAAATCTATTGAATGAATACTGACTTCCAGGGACTACAGGAAAGTCATCTTATTTGTGCCTCAATACTTTTAGCCTGCTCTTCTTTTCCTCAATCTTTTCCCTAAGTGTTTCTTACAGCTTTTAGGAATTTGTCACTGATTCTCACAATGTTATCCTATTTTATCAACCAGCAGATATGATGATAGCTATTAATGAACATATAAATGTTACTGTTATCAGATTTTTTGTTTTGTAAGAAGATCAAGCTTAGTTGCAAGATATTATTTAACCTTGAGGGAGTCTCTTTGGGAATATCAGTCAGTTTAGCATGAATAAATCTGCTGGAGATGGTCATAGCAATTAAAATAGAAGTTGGGAAAATTTGATATTAATTTTACCCCATGCTACTGCTTCAAGCTACAATCTTTAGAAGATTTAAAAAGCTTGGAATCAACAGGTAAATGCATCATGAGTTCAATACCCCTCTCATGAAATATTTTGATGAACATGATATAGAAGGAGGTAAACCAAAGGCATAACCTGCTGAAAATTGCGTATGTTTTTTCTCTTTACTGAGAAAAGGGCTAATTCTTCATGGGATAAGAACAGAAAATTCTTTTAGAAACACAAGAGTAGAATCCTTTAGAAGGGTAAATATAGACTGAGAAGCTGCTATTTGCCTAGGGGAGGAGTACGAAAGTACCTTTTGGGTTTTGAGAATTGAAAAGAAAAACCTGCCCACTGCTTTGTTTATGACAAAATCAGGGCTGCTATTCAGCTGATATGCCCATATCAGTTGTTAGATTATAAATATTTCTGTACTGATTGGTATATAGCTGCTTCCTGCTTTGATTGTCTTGTTCCTTTTCCTGGAAGCAGTAATCTCGTCGCAATCAAGCCACCTACTGGTGGAGGCCCAGGGGCTTCCAGGATCCTTCTCCAGTGCTAGGGCTAGCTTCAGTTCTGATTCATCTGGGTGCATATAGTATCACCTCAGATGGGACATTTTGAGTTCAGGCCTGCCAAGCATGACGAGGTAGAATCCCCTTCATGGCAAACTCGAATAGGTGTTCAGGCCAGCACTCAAGATAACAGGCAGAACAGAGGACCCAGCCCTGACCACCACACCAAGGTCCAAGTCTGAGGTACAGCTTCAGCCCTCACAACTCTAGTGCTCCACAAGGGTATTCTCCTGCTGCCCAGTTACTCAGACATAACTGCCATCATGTTTTGGAGCTGTCCCCAGAAGGCAGCGCCTGTGTCCATGGCATTGGTCTACCACATACAAATCCCCACAGCTTCAGATCTAGACTTCACACCCGTGAACAACAGGGAGTGGAAAGATCTCCAACCTAAATGGTGGAGGTGACTTTGGGAAACATTCCACCACACATAATGTTGGAGAGCAACGTGCCCCACCCAAGAACAAGTAATGCTGATAACTTGGCCCACAACTTGCCAAGGCCAGCCTTTACTCACCCAACAGAGCATCTCTTTAGCAGACAGGCATGGAGACAGGAACAAGCCAGTCTGGACTGCCCTATCTCACACACAAAAGCACCAGCAAGCTGTGGACAATTAAGGCACATTTTTCCTTCTCGAACCGTAGTTTTAAAAAATACTGAAAAATAAACAAACATGCTCTCATTTGGGAGAAAATATTTTGCCCTCTTCTCTTTTCTTAACATTTATCAACTTTCCTCTTGACTTAGAGTCTCAAGAAACTGTTGCCTTTTTTTTTTTTTGGTCCAGTTTTTCACTATAACTTATGTCTTATAATCTATGTCTTCCTGATTCTTGGCTCCGTATCCTTAACCAACCATAGTACACAGAACAAGAGCCTCCAAAGGATGTCCTTTTTCTAGTTCTTGGAACCTATGAACATATTATGTTACATGGCAGATGGGAATTAAGGTTGCAGATGGAATTAAGGTCTGTTCTCAGCTGACTTCAAAGTAGATTACTTTGGATCACTTAGGTAGGCCCAGTCTAATTCCAGTCCTTAGCAGAGAACCTTTCCTGGCTGTGGTCAGAAAGAGAGATGTGGTGATGAAGAAGATCCAGAAAGACACAATTTATAAAGGATTTGACTCACCGTTGCTGGTTTTAATGATGGAGGAAGGGGGCAGAAACCAAAGAATGTGAGCATCCTCTAGAAGCTGGAAAAGGCAAGGAAATAAGTCCTCCCCTAAACCCTCCAGAAAGGAATGCAGCCCTGCTGACACCTTGATTTTTAGCCCAGGAAACTTGTGTTGGACTTCCAACCTGGAGAACAATAAGAAATTTGCGTTGTCTAAGCCATTAAGGTTGTGGCAATTGGCTACAGCAGCAATAGAAAACGAGTACACCGACACTTCCCCAAAGAACAAAACTAAACAAAAGGAGTTTATGATACTTAATGACACAGCTCTCTGGGGCCACCTTCTCTAGAGTCAAGAAAGGAGAAAATTCTCCCCCTCAATTCCCTTTCAGTTTGAGAAACTTTTGCTTGTTCGTTGGTCTCAGTCTGGGTTTTCGCTTACAAAGTTTTCTGAAGTGACTGAGAAAACTGTCAGGGTGAGGCACGCTTCAGCACACGACAAACAAATATGACTCTATAAGTCATAGGGTGAAAGCCAAACTTCTCGAAAGAAAGAGAAATTTACACTTTCTGCCCCAGTTCCCATTCTTAACATGTGGCAGTTTGAATTTGCCCCATGGCTAGTGAAACTCATCTGAGGCCTTCCTGAGAAGGCCGGGTGAGCTGTCTCTGCGGGGGAGTCTGAACCTGACGGATATCTGAGCATGGCTATGTTTAGAAGCAACAGTATAAATTATACATTTTTCTCTCCCATTATTTCTGAGCCTTCTTGTTCAACATTACAGTCCAGGCTCAGGTATAGAGAATCAGGAAAAGGCCTGTCTGGCCATCTTGACAGAGAGGCAAAAGAATACCATTCAAAATTATTAATCAGCTAGTGACAGACACTAGCTGAGAACAGCTGTGACCAGTAAAGTATAATTTCACTGTCAAAGAGGCCAAGGTGAGAGAAGATGAAGGATCTCTCTCTTTTTTTTTTTCAGGAAAGATTCGCCCTGAGCTAACATCTGTTGTCAATCTTCCTCTTTTTTTTTTTCCTCCCCCAAGCGCAGTACATAGTTGTATATTCTAGTTTTAGGTCCTTCCAATTCTTCCATGTGAGCTGCTGCCACAGCATGGCTACTTACAGATGAGTGGCATAGTTTCATGCCCAGGAACTGAACCTGGGCCACTAAGGCAGAGAGCACTGAACTTTAACTGCTAGGCCATCAGGGCTGGCTCAAGGATCTCTTTTTTAGTACATACAAATGCACCCTTAGGAGGGGAGGGCTAATTATGAGTAGGGTATCCGGGTGGGGGTGCTAATTTCTTTCATTCAGCCAATGGAGATTTAAGTAATTCTAATTCAGGTATTTAAGGAAAATCTATATTTGGTGGTTCACAATCTAGTCAGCTATGGATATTGGTTATAGTGTGGGAGACACAATGGGGTTATTATGTGTAGTGCAATGTACATTCTTATTACAAACTCTTGAATGGAACTAAGTGGTATTTGAGATGTACTGACAGAGATAGAGGGCATCAAATGGATGTGGACTCTCAAATATCACTTCTTTGAAGGAACCAGTAAGCTGGATGAAATTGAAATTAAAGAAATCAAACAAACAGGCTAATTTCATATCCTGACCTGGTATAGGGAGAGTTTTGGAAAATTGTCAGGAAGAAAAAATTAGGAATGCAGTCTCACTAAAGCTTGTTGAATGAGTTGACTACTTGAAATTATCAGGTAGATTCTATGAATATAAAGTGATCTTTAAGTCCCCTACCTTGCAGAGTAAATTTTTGGAAAGATTAAATGTTTCTTTTAGAGACTGGAGGTGAGTATTATGACATGTGGCCTGAATCTAGGCCTGACAGCATCCCTATATACCCAAAGCTGGACTTGCCTCCTGACAGAGAAACTATGTCTAAAGTCATCCCCCTGCCTTCCAATCCCACTGCCTCTATACTGGTCACAGCTCTCCTAGTCCCCCTCCCAGAACAAGTAGTAAGAGCTATACCCTGGGTTCCATTCTCTTATTCCTCTCACCAGCCTACCTCCAGCTGTCAGGCTCTTCTCTTAAAACACAGATCTGACCCTGTCTTTCCCCAACTCAAAATCCTGCAATTAGCTCCTGATCCATAAGTAATAACACTTAACCTCCTATGGTTGAGATTTAAACTTCTCTAATAAGTGGTTCTACCTTGCTTTCTAGTATTGTCTCCTGCAATAATGCCCCCAACCCCCAACTTCACACCCACTATACCTACTCTAACTACAAGTGTCCAAACATTTCCTGCATCCTGCTGCTACCATATAGGGTGGTGGAAAGGGCTTGATATTTTGAATGAAAAGACTCAGGTTTCAGTCCCTCATTCACTAACTTCAACTTAGCCTAGGTCACTTTCCCTCTCTTTTCCTTGATTTCATCATCTGTAAAATAGGAAACTAAGATGTATGTATACCTACCTTACAGGGTAGCTGTCAAGGTCAAATGAGGATGATAGTGAAAGCACATTTTAAGTTGTAAATTAGCCTTTGGATGATATTTATTACAAATGTGATCATTTCCCTCCCACATTAGATATTTATGTAGATATATAGATATTATATAGATGCAATATATTAGATATTATTAGGTAGCTACCCTGACTCCACTCTGTCTCCAAAATCTCACAATAATAGGCCTTCAACAATGTTTGCTGAATTGAATTGAAACCTTCCATATTTTAGCCTCCAACATTTACAATACGCACCATTAAAAGTTTGTACAATATAGGATATGGAAGGCAGTAGAATTCTCACACTCTTCCAAGTAAATCTGAAAGTCAGAAGCCTACAGATGAGAAAATCTATTTCAATAATATACATTCCGATTTCAAAATGTAATTAGGTCAAAGAAATTAACATTGTGATGGTAAGTTTCATTATTACTATTCTTCTGATATTGTGGCTGATAATAATACTATTTACAAGAATCCTAGGAGCTACGTGATAGATAAAATATATGAAAAGTCAATGACTGCTTTGTAGAAACTTTCATACTTTTTAGCGTTGATTAGATACTATAATACATGAAGTTTTCAAGATGCAGTTTTTAAAGCAAAGTGGGCAAAATGAAGGAAAATGGAAAGAGAAAGAGAAAACAAAGAGTGAAGTTTCCTCTCTTCATTCTTAATTACATCATTGCATTTTATCTTATGGACTCCCTACCTTTCTTTACAGGTGATGGTGTCTGAGAAGGAAAAGAATCAGAGAACATAAATTTTGAAAGCTAGAAGTTTTCTTATAAATCATCAACTCTAAGCTCCTTTTGTAAAAGAAACTAAGACATAAAGATGATACAGGAGTGGCTCAGTGGTTTAAAACCTGATAATGGCAAATTAACTTTTTGCTAAAGGATTTGACAGTTACCTTCAAATATATCTTCCTTCTAGAAAAGCTGACACTGCTGCTTCTGTTTCTGATAATGGTATCTTTATTTCCTCGGGAGTCTCTCCAGTGTGACAGGAAGTGCTTTTCCTAAAGCTATGAATAATAGCCTCTATGCTTTGTCAGGCGCTGCAACTACAATGCGTGGAACAATACCCTAGTGCCCCCGCGGAGTTAATGAGCCTCCCAAGGCTACTAATTTACTATGAGGGAGTAGCTTAGAATTCAGGAAGATTAGATTCTTCTTTATTATATCAGTGCCTTTTTATTTTGTTAGCCTAATGCCCCTAACATTTCCCGCCATTATACTTCTTTCCTTCCTTTTATGCCCAAAGTCCATAAATGACTAGTGCATGCTTACCACCTCCCTTTACTTTACCTCTCACCTCTTAATTTGCTTTTTGGCTGCTTTCCATAAACCGGTATTCTGTGTATCAGGAACTTTCCTTCTAGACAAATTCAAGTGCCTTTTCTTCATCTTCTCCTTGATTTCTTTGTAATATTAAACAAGTTTGACTGTTGCCCTTCTTGAAATTCTTTTAATATTTGAATTTTACAATACTAAACAGCAAATTTCCTGACCACCTCTCTGAGTACACTTCATCCTCTTGTCCCTTTTCTGTGGGCATTCCTAAGACTCACTGGTTTTGTCACTCTTCTCTCTTGACAAATTTCTCTATGTTGATGTCCTTAATGACCATGTCCGTGTTGATGATCCCCAAATCTTGGGCTCCAGTCTTGATATCTAATGAGCATTCTTATCTTGTAATTCCAGCTATTCTCTTAGATCTCTTGCCATATTCTGACTTAACATATCTAAGACCAAACTCATCATTCCACTGACTAAACTGTGCCCCTTTTCAATACATCATTTTTTAAAAATAAAGCTACAAATTTCTGAGTTTTTACACTTCAAACATAGTCATTTTTGCTCCTGCTTTAAAAGTATATTTGAAAAATTATGAAATTGTTTTGATTTTTTTTTTTTTTGCTTGTGGGGGCAGCTCCCCTACTGACTTTCTTCATGCTCATAGGTCATTCCTTTACTTGGCAAGGAAGATTGGCCCTGAGCTAACATCTGTTGCCAATCTTTCTCTTTTTTTTTTCTTCTCCCCAAAGCTCCAGGACATAGGTGTGTATTCTGGTTGCAAGTCATTCTGGTTCCTCCATGTGGGATGCCGCCAGAGTATGGCTTGATGAGTGGTGCATAGATCCATGCCTGGGATCCAAACTAGCAAACCCTAGGCCACTAAAGCAGAGCGTGTGAATTTAACCACTCGGCCATGGGGTTGGCCCCCAGTTTTGATTATTTATTCTGTGTTCTCTTAGTGAATGCATTCACTTTTATGCCTGCTTTCATCACTTGAATCCATCCACCCATCCATCCATCCATCCATCCACCATCATCCCCTCCTTAATCTTATTCCAGACAAACCTACTGATAAATGGTCTGTGCAAGAAAACCTCAGTGCCAGTTTTCACTTGATTAAGCATATTAACTGTTCTTGAGTATATTAAGTAGTTCCACTTGATGGAACTGCTAGTCCTCACCTGCCTTTAGCCTGACTTCATTCTAAATTAAACACCATCCTCCCAGCTTCTCTGTTACAAAAGAGTGGTGTCACTACAGCTGAAACCAGCCTATCCTTTGTTTGTTCTTATTTGGGTTGGGAGCAACTCCCCCAGGAACAAAGAGGGTGGAGAACAACATCTCCTTGCAATGACAGTTTATCTAACGAGGTCGTGATGCCAAGGTTATCCTCACTCATAACAACTATTAATTCATAATCTCCAGTTGTCATTTCTAGGTTTTGCCTAAGAGTCACACTTCCTTTGACACAGCACAGCTTCCAACAACATAGCACTTGGCTGCTCTACCGAGAGAGGCTAGCTTCTGTGCCAAATACACGTCTCATTCTATGGACTTTATAGCTGCCATCTTTTTTAAAAGCCAAGTGTGGGCAATCATCTCAGGGAACAGGCATCTGTATTGTAACCCTTGAAGAATGTTAGTAATCTATTATTTTTCTCTATAATTTTTAAGTCCTGTTGTTTCATAAGTTTACTGATTCTTCAACTTAGGCATCCAATCATTTGAC